CGCACGAATCGCTCGATTCGCCACGGCGAAAAGGGGGCTATCTCTCGGATGCATCGATGCACGATGCGCAAGGTAGGGAGCGATTTCGACTAACGACGCCTTCCGCTCATTGGTCTTAATCTGAGCCACGAATCACAATCGGCTCTTCCTAACATGGAGCCACGGCGGAGGAGCGTTCCCTTCTCTTTCTCGCGCGTGTGCCGCGCGGACATAGTGCAAACAGAAATTCCGTTATACCGCATAAAGCATCGGGGGCCACTCTAGTAGTAGGTTGGCCCCGGGACACGTGGTGGAGGAGATGGAAGAAGGTTGGTGGCGCAGGCATGCGAGCTGCATTCCCCTCTCCTCGGCTGCTTAACTCGCTTCCAGCGAGCGAGTTAGCGAGCCGCTGAACGACGACGACGAGCCAAAGAAATATTCGAGGAATAAGCATTTTATCGCCCCCGCCGTATTTTATCGCCCCTAATTCATTGTTTTCCACGCCACGATCTTTCAGCTTTACGCCCCGCCATTATGCTTTATTCCCTCGCGGTGGATAGTCGCTCGTTTCGCATCATCCCCTTCGCCCGTTTCTTGCGTTTGTTAGTTTTTTCCCGACACTTCTAACGCACCTGGCCGCGCGTTGCCTTTACGTCTTTGCTCTCCTCTTCTCGTCGTTTTGTCGTCTAATCGGTTTAAGCTTCGCGCTCGAAGCTTATACGAAAGACTCTTATCCACGATTGGATTGGAATGGAAACGAGAGGGTTGTATGATAATATTTTTCGCGTGATCGTGGACAAATTAATTGGAAGGAGTTTGATTTTGAAGCTCGATACTGGATGAGCAGGATCCCCATATTTCGAATAGGTTTGTTTTCAGGGAATGAAGATGGTCGTTTCGATCGGACAATTTCTTTGATTTATGAAAAAAGGATAAGAAAAGTACGGGTAATAAAAGCTACGTAGAATCTATTATTCGATCAAAATTCATATTCGTATACGCTTCGCATAGTTGGCAAAGTTATTCGATCTTCTCCTAGATACACGTCCTGTATACGTATCTATCGTGGTATCAATCGGAACGTATCTAACTCTCTTTCATTCCCGAAAAACAAATCCAATATTCCAAATAGCTTTGGTCCACGGTTACCGTGGATGGAACTTTCTCTCGTGGAAACAAGAACCCGTTCCCGGCCAAAAGACCGCGGGGATTGGATCCGATAGAAAGCCGAATGTTTCCTCGACTCATAAACTCTTCCCTTCCTCTCCCGCCCCCCCCCTCGAAATCTAATATTCGAAATGGACGTCTCTTACAAAAGTAATCGATCAAATTCCGAAATACAAGTGTATGCGCGATATCTCTCGTCGTTCCAAAGAATCGAAATCGAGATCGGCTGTTCGAGTGATCGACGAATTTTGGAAAAAAAGTTCTTTTTTTTTTTTTTCAACGCACCCTTCCCTCAATCTCTCCTATCTCCCCCGATTTTTCTTTTCTTTTATCTTGGATCGATCGATCGATCTTGGACACGATCGGCCTTTAAACTGCCAAGCTGCTCGCATAATTCTTCCTGGGATTGTTTCGCGCGCGGTAGTCGCAACAGGTTGCGCGGATTTTTCCACGTGAAATTATATCTCGGCGTGGAAACGAGATACGCTGTTTTCGCCCGTCGTTTAAGGGGGTTGTTGATTAGAAAAGTGGCGGAACAGGATCGGGTCGAGACGCGTGGCGATATGCATACGGCGAGCTATGCACGAGTCTCGATAAAGGGAAAACAGGCGGCGGAGAGAAAGATATATATATGTATTTCGTAGACTGGATTTACGCACCGTAAACACTTAATAATCCCTGGTTGATAAGAGAAGTAATTGAATCGAGTTTAAATAGATTGGAACGATTGGAGGAGAGGATGCGTGGTTATGCTCGATCGTGGAACGATCGAATTTATACTTGGAAATTTGCAATTCATATTTCGGTGATTGTCCAACGTCGTATACGCGCGTACTTAGCCGCCGCGTACGTGTGCCGAACGCTCGTGACACGTTACATTCGCGCGTGGAGGGTCTTGCTTGTTCAGCGGCTGTTTCGAGGAATGGATTTTAATCGCGAGTAATGTTATTCGAGTCTCGTGTTCGAGAAAACTTTTTTTACTACTATTTTCTTACTGTTAATCTTCGCATTTGACTCGCGGGGATTTAATGCGAGAATTTGACACTCGTGTGTACAAATCGTCAGGTTTCGACTAACTTTTTCTGCTTGTGGAGTTTTTTCCATGTTACGTGTACATCGAAAATGGATTGCCTTTTTCCCCCTTCCGATAAAATTTTACGTAATCCTGGAGATGGATAGACTGCCTTGCGATCTAATGATATGTTTAAAATTACTTCGATGTTATTCATTATTGTAATACCTAAGGACGATCTAACGTTTCTTGGTTCCATAACGTTTTATCGATTTTGCATCCTAATAAATGCAATCCAATCCTGCCAGGACAAAGTTGCAAAGGGGATACGGAAACTTTCACGCCAGTCAATCTCGATGCAAACGACTCGAGTGTCGGACACTGAGGGGGAATTTCCTTCGTCCCAGCTCGGCAATTATCAACATTATCAACGTAATGAGAATTCCTAAGGACGGTGAAAACCGCAAAACCGGGCGAGAGGGAGAGGGTTGCGCGCGCCTTTCCCATATTAATTCGCGTAATCGCGATTGCGCGACGTGGACGCGTACGTATTATTCGTAACGTGGGTAGCAGGTTTGCGTCACGTCTGTTGCGCATCCCGCGCGATTCTCGCGCCTTGATTACACGCGCAGATTACGCGTAATCACGGGCAACGATAGCGCTACTAACCGGCACGATCGCGTATCGATGCAAATTACGGATCCGCGCGTCGACATATCGAATCCCTGGCATTTCGCCTATTCCATCGATTTCCATCTCTCCCATCTCTCCCTAATTATCTCGAATTAAAAATTTCGAAACCGTTCGATCCCGCCGTTCACTTTTTTTGGACAAATTTTATGTGGAGAAAATTCCCGATTTCTTTCTTTCTTTCTCTTTTTTTTTCTCAACGATCGAATCGGAATAATATTCGAATCGCATTCATCGTCGTTGATTCACCGATACGAGGCAAACTGTGGAAAAGGAAAGTTCCCAGGGGCTGCGTGTAATTTGATTACGGGAGGATCGATCGGCCGCGCCACGAAGTTGCGCCACTTTATGTAAATTGTTGGGGCCGCGAAGCGTATGCAAACCAAATTTCCCGACCACCTCGAACCGGAGATCGTAAGATTCTAAAACTATCCGTGCAAGTGGACCCGTTAACCATGAAGATGAATTTCAACGCGTGGTTTACACACGGTTTTATTTCGATCGTGTCCATTCGACGCGTCATCCAATATTTGCCACGAGGCGAATCGATTACGGGAAAGGAAAAGAAAAAAGAAACTCCGCGTCTCCTACTTCTATTCAACTATACAACGACTCGGTTTTGTATGAGCGGAGTAGGACGATCAAAGACTAGGCTTCGATCCTACCTCGCCTCTTTTGCCCAACCGAATCTGATTTCTATTACAATGAGGCGGTCATTACTTATTCCGTTGATGTAACGGTAACGAAACGTGATGACAATGTAAACAGACGTGACTCGATTAGCATAAAGTATTGTTCGTTGCGGTGAAATCCTCTCTTAAGAGCGGCAAGTTTTTGACCAAGTTTTTTTTGCACTCCTCGAGCGCAAATATTCTCAACTTGTTCTCAACTATAGGCGAATATAGAAAAAAAAAAAAAAAAAAAACTAATACTCGTTGTCGAGATGCGAATGAGGTATGCGTATAGAGGGAAGGTGAATAAGAAAAGACGGATAATTTTAAAAACATAAAAATAGAGCATTTTATTGTTCAGTCACAGGTTTTTATTCATTAACATTATCTTTCGCGTCGTCCTCACGTCGTCACGGGTATAATTTGCAAAAGGGAGGATTAGAGATGGGTATTATTTGAAAATCGCTTGCGAGGAAAGCTAAAAGAAGATCGATCTCACATTTGTTTGTACATCGATTGTTTTCGAATTTATATTATTTATTACAGCGATCGTTTCGCTTCGCTTGCGCACCTTTTCTTTTTCCCCTTTTCCCCTCGAATCCGACCGTCTCTCACCTCTTCTCGAATCCGAGAAAAAGAAAAACTAGAAATTTTCTCCTACGAGTTCGATATCCCTGATGTGGCCCTCTTCGAGAGCCAATCGAGAATCGCGAAAAGGAAGAGGAAACAAGAAGAAGAAGAAGAGAAAGAAAAAGAAATAATAATAACGAGGGAAATAACGGAAGGTAGTAGACCGTCGAATTCAAGCGGAGGCCTCGCATGCGACGGAAAACTGTGCCCGCGCGCGTTTTTGACACGTCCACGCGATGCCTCCGTTCAACGTTTCTTTTTTTTCCGGGCGAAAATAAATAAGAATATAGGAAGTTGCACGCATTAATACTTTACAAAAGGAAGGAATTGTTGATAATAATAAAAGAAATGATCGTCGCTTAGCTTAGGGAGAGATATTTAAAGTTGGCCGGTCTTATAGATACAAATTAAATAATACACGCGTTGGATTCAGCGCGCACGATCAAAGGAGGAAGTGGCAGTATCACCGCGTTCTCGGCTCTCGTGGACCAGAGAGACTCACCACACGCACGAATCGCTTTGCGAAAAAAATTGGAAACTCGAACGTTTCACGGAACTCGAAGAGGAAACTCGATCGACCATCGATTATTCTTATTCCACGATCGTCGTTCGAATCGTCGTTCGCCTTCCGCGCCAAGTTCGCACACATCATTTTCGCATCACAAGCGATAGCAGCGACGTTTAGGGTGTTGTTAAAAAACGTAAATTCACATGGCACACCGCGAACCTGGCTCCGTATATATACATATATGTGTGTGTGTGTGTGTATACCAGAGAGAAGATATCGCACACCGGTGATTCCGGAGAGAATATCTCTCGTCCGACGAGATCTCTTCACGCACCGTTAACCCTAAATTAACCGTGAGCTCGATCAACCGATTATGGGGCCGAATATGTTGTCGATAGAGACGCAGAAGACGTATTTACAACGATTTTTAAGCTATCTAGCAAAACTCACTGACTCGCTGCAAAATGTACAGACACCATAGTATAATCACGAGGGAAGCACCTTAAATATTATAATCACTCTCTCTTTCTCTCTCTCTCTCTCTCTCCTATCCATTTCTCGTATATTCTCTTCTCTATTTACAAAAGCACACACTGTTTCTCTCTTCTCGTGGAACTTTTTTTTCCCCCCCCTCCACTTTTCACGTTATCCTCGTCGTTTTCTTTTTTTTCCTTCGCACGAGAGAAAAAACGAAAATCCTCTTCCTCTCTGTGAAGAACATTTTATACATTCGCATAGAATCCGCACCAGTAGTATTTACACTCGTATATATCCCACTTTATTGCACCTATTGTATAAGGAAACGCACTGCACCCTTCCTCCGGCCAGTCTTCGCGCACCACCTTCTCTCTTTCTCTCTCCTCTTTGAAATTCACGCCCACAATCCCACACCGGAAGGAAAGCGCGGTATACGCGGCACGCATATATTATATATATACACATACACACACGGAGAGAAACACAGTCACGCGTAGAAACAGCTGGGAAGACGAAGACACCAAGCGAACGAAAGCGCGTGGTAAAGGTGACGGTTCATATGTGGACGGAGACGGTTCGCGATCCGTTGGACGTCCTGTTGTTGTGCTGGCGTCGGACGGGCGGCGGTTGCCTCGTCCTCTGCGTGGTCCTCTGATTGTTGGGCACGTCCGGCAACGCGAACCGCAGCTTCTCCCAGAACAGCTTGTCGCCCCATTGCAAGTAGGTGTTGGTCTTGAGATAGAGCCTGATGTCCGGGTCGAGGTCCCGTTGATGAACGTCGCCGACCAGGACCAGGATCAGCCTCCGCCTTCGATCGCGCAACACCTGATGGTGGGCCGATTTGAAGTCGAACCGGCACCACTCGGACTTGATGAAGTTCTCCGAAAGCACCATTATCGTCCTCCTCGAGGACTCCACCGCCTGGACGATGGTGTCGGCTATGAAGCTGCCGACAGGGAAGTCCCGGTAGTGGAGGCACAACTTGTAGGAGGGGTTGCCCATCTCGAGGACGGGCGCAAGCTCCTCGGCGACGAACGCCTCGTCCTTGGAGCTGTAACTGATGAACGCGTCGAACAGTTTGTCCCTGTCGTCGCGGTCCACCTCGTGGCTCCTGTAGAATATCCTCACCCCGAACCTCGAGTGGAACCACACGCGAAGCTCTTGACGGAACACGAATCCGAGCAGGCAGAGGAGCACGACCAACGAGGACGCGACCAGAGTGGTGACCAGCAACGGGAGATAATCCTGGAGCACTTGTTTCTCGATTATGGTCTTGGTGAGGTTTCGATGCGGGTCGGTCTCCGTGCTGGCCGCCCCGGTGCACGCGCTCTCGTTGCTCCCCCTCTCGTTGCGCTCCTCGTCTCTGCCGCGCGTCTCGGCCACTAGGAAACCGAACTCGTTGTCCGCGAACACCTGGTCGCCGAACGCCTCGAACTCCGTCACGTTGTACACGCAGCGCAACGCGGACGCGTCCGTGACGCGCACGTTCGGACCGCGGATCCACTCCCGATAACTTCGAAGGTAGTCGCACTCGCACGACCACGGGTTCCCGGACAAACTGATCTCGATCGAGTTGGGAAGGGTCCACACGGCCAGCACTGTCAAACGGTTCCCCTCCAATCGAAGGGTGCGCAACGATCGAAGGGTGGAGAAGGTGTCGTTGCCGATCGAGGCGATCCGATTCCTGTGGAGGTAGAGCAGCTTCAACGCGTCCAATCCCTCGAACTCGTGCCCCTTCAACTCTCGAATCTTGTTGTCCTGGAGGTGGAGATCCTCCAGATCCCTGAGCCCGTTGAACGATCGATTCTGCACGATCTCGATGTTGGACGAGTTGAGGAACAACACCTTGAGCTTCTTCCGCCCGATGAAAGCGTGGCTGGACACGAGGCGGAGATCGTTCCCGTCCAAGTAGAGGCGGGTCGCGTCCATCGGTATTTGTTCGGGCAGTTTGTTGGCGTGGCCACCGTTGGAACAATCGACCACGTTGGCCGACCACGATTGATCGTGGTAACACGTGCAATTTGCGGGGCAGGTCATCTCGCAGTCGCAGGCGTCGAAGTCGCAACAGTGGCACAGGGCGAAGCAATGGGTGTCGTATTTGCACAAGAACTGGGAGTGGGACGCCTCGACGAGGGGCACGAACGCGTGCTCCCGATCGTAGAGGAGCTTGCAATAGATGCTCTCCAAGTCCATCACTCGCGGTTGCACCCTCGTCTGATTCTGCCTGTTGACGCGTTGCAACCACTCCATGGTACAGTCGCACAGATACTGATTGTCCCCGATGTAGAACTCCGGAAGAGGTTTGTCGGGCGGCACTGCGCTGATCCGCAACGCGTACGGCTCCAAGTTCCGTATCTGATTCCCCTTCAACTCGACCGTGGTCAGGTTGGGCTTCTTGAAGAACGAGTAACTCTGCACCTTGGATATCTGGTTGTCGTTCAGGTAGAGCCTCTCCACGCTCATCGGTATCGCGTTCCCCGTGATCTCGGTCAGCTTGTTCTCGCTCGCGTCGAATATGCTCAAATTCAGCTGGCTCTCGATCTCGAAGTAATTGCCCAGCTCCCGTATCTCGTTCGAGTGTATGTCGAGCCATTGCAATCCGGTCGGTATCATGGCGTAGTCGAACCATCTCAGCTTGTTGTCGCTCACGTTCAGCCACACGAGGTTGGACAGATTGGTGAAAAGGCCCGCTATGTCCGTCAATTGGTTGCCGTCGAGGCGGATCGCTTGGAGGTTCGCGTTCTCGTCGAACGTGCCCGGCTCGATGTATTGTATACGATTCATCGCGAGATTCAATATCTTGAGCTCCTTGATACGATCGAACACACCTTTGCTCAGATTGCCTATGTGATTCTCGGTCAATCGGAGCCCGTAAAGTTGGGACACGTGGTCGAACGTGCCGCTCGGTATCTCCGAAATGAGATTCTCGCCGAGGTCGAGGGTACGGAGAAGGGGTGTGGCTTTGAGCGCGTCCGGGACCGAGTGGAGCTGGTTACGGTTCAGGTGGAACTCTTGGAGGGACGAGGCGTTTCTCAGGGCGCTCGGGTTTATCGTGTGCAGCCTGTTGTTGTCCAACGAGAGGAGGTTCAGCACGTAGAGGCCGCTCAGCGTGGTCGCGTCGATAACGGTGAGCAAATTGTAGCTGAGCAGCAACGTGTGAAGATTGTAGAGGGCGGAGAACGTGTTCTCGGGCAGGCTCTCCAACAGATTCTCCTGCAACCGGAGTATTTGAAGGCTGTAGAGGTCGCGGAACACGGCCGGGTCGAGTCGGGCGATACGATTGTTGGAAAGGTCGAGCACCACCAGACGGACCAGGCCGACGAACGTGGCCGCGTTCACCCATTCGGCGGTCAACTCGTTGTGGGATAGGTCGAGCACCAACAGTTGGGTCAACTCGGTGAACAGGCCGGGCGGCAACACGTTCAACGTGTTGTTCCGAAGATGGATCTCCTGGATGTTCCTCGCGTCGCTGAACAACTCGGGCGGCAGGCTGGCCAGCCGGTTGTCGGCCAGCCTCAACACGGCCAACGAGGAGAGGCCCTCGAACGCCCGATCCGCCATGAAGCTGATGGCGTTGCATCGCAGGTCGAGGCTGTGCAGCCTGGTCAGGCCGGAGAACGCGGCGGTCGGCAACGATTCCACGCTGTTGTTGCTCAGATCCAGCTCCTTCAGTTTCGACAGGCATCTCGAGGCGCCCGTGAACGGAACTCGTCACGTCCCGCAACCGATTCCTCGTCAAATTCAATATCTCGAGGTTGGCGAGGGGGCAGAGGGCGCCCTCCGGTATACTCCACATGTTGTTCTCCCCGAGATCCAGTTTCTCCAATTGCTTGAGCTCGTCGGTGAACGCGCCGCCGGACACGTCCAACGCCATCGCCGACCAATCGGTGTTGTGCGTCCTCACCGTCAGATTCCTCAACTCCTTCAACCCTTTGAACGCGTCGTCCGACAGATTGCCGATCTTGCAATACTCGATCACGAGCTCCCGCAACTCGACCAACGGCCTGAAACTGCCCGCGCTCAACGAGCTCTGGTAGAACAACGCGTCGCTGCATTCCAACCTGAGGCGGACCGTGTGCTGCGGCTGTATCACGCTGAAGTTGGTGTTCTCCAACTCGCTGTTGATCGTCCTCAAACGGCACACGAGCGAGACGTCGTCCTCGGTGTCGCCGGTCGCGACCCACTTGCACTCGTCCGGCGCTTTGTAACGGAGCGCCTTGCTCAGGGACGCGCCGAGGACGCCGAATATCGTGCCTAGAATTATGGCGAAGAACGCAGGACTGCCCCGCATCTTTCTCGCCCCGTTCTCTCTCTATCTCTCTCTCTCTCTCTCTCTCTCTCTTTCTCTCTCTCTTTCCTCTCTTTTCCCCTTCACCTCTACCTCTCAATCTTCCATCAAATCTCACGCGAACACGGCTCCTCTATCTGTCGCGAAACCGGCCGCGATCCATTTAAGTCCAATCAGATCCGCCGATCTCGCATCGCCCATCCTCTCTTCTCTCTCTTCTCTCTCTTTCTCTCTTCCTCGCGGATCTTCTTCGCTTCAATTCGACGTGTAAAAAGATCACCGCTTGGTTCCCGCGATTTTTCCTTTCTTTCTTTCCCCCTCCCCCCTTTTTTGTAGATCTTTTGGCGTTTTCCTATATATATATATATATATATATATATATATATATTGTTCGT